TAATTTCTTACTATGTATAAAATATATATCTTTATATTTACAGACAAATATCCCAGTCACCACTCATCAAAGAAGCTTATTTTGTACCAGATACAGACTATTACTGAGTACCACAACTGGTCCCACACAGACATTGTCTACAAATTATCCAAGCCTAAGTGGTACATCTACAATTCAACCTTTACATCTAAGCCTCCCAGAATATAGAACAGGAGTAAAGAGGACACTAATGAATATCTCAATTTTCATTAATGAAGCCTCCTCATTATGGAACAGAGGGCCACAAACACAAAAGGTCACAAATGGACAAAGTGTAGAGACTAAGAGTCTGCAGAATGTTGGTCCTTGGACAGGATTCCTATATTAACCTTCACCCAACCAGGGTTCAGGAACCATTGCAGAAGAGGGGGCAGAAAGATTGTAAGAGCCAGGTAGGAGGTACATGGCCATATAGAAATAGAGTCCTACAAGCTCCTGGGACCCTGCTCATACGAATCTACAGCAATAGTTGACAGCATATACAAGCCCCATACAAACTCAAGCAGACAAAACCCAGCATAGAACTGGGAAAATGGACAGCAGACCCCAATCTTAGCTGAAGCAATATTGGCAACTGATTACTGCTCGGTGAGAGAGAGCTGATCTTCCTAAAGTGAGGGACTCTAGATAAGCTAACTAGACCTCCATAGATGAACTTGCACTGAGGAACATCTGGGGACACTAACTTGACAAAACAGGCTTTAACACAAATGACAGAATGTATGGATTCCAGTGGGGGACTTGGGAGTGTGCCAGTGGAGACAGAGGTATAAAGATGATTAAGATTGACTGAGATGTTCTGTATGAAATACACGAAAATTAAAAAAAATTTTTTTTAAAGAGCATTTCCAAATTATTTTTTCAGGTGTGATGTTAAATTGAAAGTACTTTTCTTTGCTTCAAATGGTTTGATTTTTTCATGTGAGACAGAGTTGATTTACCTACCACATTTTACACTTTCATTTTTGTGCTTATTTTATATTATGCTTTTCCTTTACAGAATTTATCATGGACTTAAAAAATTACTCGTCTAATGTTTGCCATTCAGCGAGACTGAACGCTCCAGAAGAGTGGTGTGTGTTTTGTCCATCCTGCTATTAGTATGTATTGATTTTTTAAATAAATACATTATTTGTCCATTAAAAAAATAAAAAGCATTTTCTAAATGGTACAAAATCATCTGCCAAATTGCAAAATAAATGTGTGAACCAAATGAGGCCACAACCAAACAAATATTAAGTATTCTTTTGTTATCAGATTAAGTAATAACGTCCTCTAAATTGGACACATAGTAGCAAGATAAATCAATTTTCCAGTTGGAGGATTGTGTGTGGATTAAAAGATCAGGGTTTATCAAAAAAAACCCTTCGCAAAAGCCCTGACACCATTAAGGGAAATGTTTATTTGGCTATATTGGAGTGCTATTTGAGCCAAATAAATTTATAGGCTCGTCTTCCCTCAAAAAGACATGTTTGGGAATATTAAATGTTTCCTTAAAGGTCACATTTACAATACAAGAAATTTCAGCACATGCAATTCCACTAATGGTCCTTGGAATTTGTTAATGGAGGGAAAATGAACCACGGGTGGTTTTGAATGTTGGTTTTGGAAGGTGGGGCACAGTTCCTTTTCCTTTTCTTCAATCTTAACTGCCTACCCAGGCTACAAGCATTGCTCATATGATTATACTCTTAGTTAACACTCCTTCATGCTAAAATATTTAAATAAATGCAGCTAAGATATGTGATAGCTCACACCCCTGGATTAATGACACCAATTGCTCATATAGGATACAGCCTGTTTAGACACAATAACTCAAATGGGAGAAATTTGTTTATATTTAAGGTGTTCATGAATGCTACAATTTTAATGAAAAGTTGATGCCATGACTAAAGGGGTGAAAAGTGGATTATGAATAAAAGTCCAACCCATACACTAATTTGATGTTCCTTGATAGTGCCGGGTAGCCATTTCCTCCAAGCTAAACATGACCATCACAGACTTGAAGCAGATCAGCTGTAATGACCTGCATGAACCTTTAATGAGATTCAGTCTAACATGCCCTCACGGAGGGAGGAAGGAGACTCACAAGATCTTCACAGGCCCCTTATCTCCCTGAGAGTCCAATAGTCACTATTTAAGAGATACACAGTGAACTGGAAGGGTCTTTTTTCTAGGGTTATAGCTGCCTTTGTGTCACCCAAGTTCCTGTAAGTAATCCCAATAAACTAACTGGTTCACCAAGCTGAACTTGGATGTAATTCTTTAGTCTACTGGTGCCCTCTCTATTTAGGGTGACTGTTTCTGTATCTCTCCCAAAGGAAAGTCATACAGCAGGTGGAGTTGAGGCCACAGCCACGGGTATACTCAGATACCTGGAAGAATGGCAAGATAAAGAAAGGCATAATACACACTGTGGGTATACTATGAACATCTTCAGAGCCATAGCAATGAGCCACAGGAGCCCAGCAAATTATAACAGGGTCATTGAAAACTGGGACAGAAGACAGAAGAGACTGACACTGAGTATGTGGTTTGGCACCGAGTTATAGTTTCCACATATTTTAGCTTATTAAATACTAGTAATTATCTTCCACTTCATTGGGCTGTAATTTTAATTTATAGGTTGCATTACATGAAGTCTGCAAGAAGCAAAGGGAACAGTTGAGCTTTAATACAAGGGAGCCTGACTCCTCAGTCAGTAACTTCTCAGTACAAGCTTAAAGATATATGCCAATACCATTGCTTATCAAAAAAGATTTTTTAAATTGGGAAAGAAAAGCAAGAAAGTAGATGATTTCAATAAAGGTTAAGAAAATATGGAGGATGGAGAATTACATAACGTAACTTCGAGGAAGAAGAGCATAAGATGGGTAAAAGAGGCTAGCCAGGTCACGGGAATAATTCAGTAAAAGGATGGACTTCCTGGAGATTTTCTGATAGAAGGACAATATCCTATGTCCCACAAGACATTGCTGGAGCAGCTAAAGAACATCAAGGTTGTTGTGTGTCAGGCTGACCCACCTAAGTCCAGCCTGGGATAGACAGTCTGCCTCTTGAAGCTGATGGACAGAGATTCCTTAGTGAATCTATTATTCAAATGGACAGTCAAGGAGATCAAGGAGATGTTTTGGGTACTGGAAGGGAAGGGAAAAGGAGGAGGATATGTGTGGTTACAAGAAATGGTGGCGCACACCTTTAATCCCAGCACTTGGGAGGCAGAGGCAGGCAGATCTCTGTGAGTTCAAGGCCAGCCTGGTCTACATCATAGTGAGTTCCAGGACAGCTGGGGCTACAGGGAGACCGTCTCAAAAAGACTAAAAAAAAAAAAAAAATGAAAGAACCTGGAGGAAGAAGGCATGTTGTAGAAAAGAGGAAAGAAAGAGGAGTAAGACAATGGAGAGAAATGGACAGGTTTTGACCTAGGTGAAAAAAATAGGAAACACTTGATGTTCACAAAACAAACAATAAAAACCCCTGTGGGACCATGAAATTAAGCAGTGAGGATTCAGGCCCAGGAGAAAGGGTCTATTCTTCCTAACAATGAGATGGTCATCTCATTTACTGCCTTAAGGACTCCGTGAGACCATTATAGAAGTCTGTTGTACCTAGCAGGGCATTGTACACACTAGGCAAGCTACCGCTCTAGCACTGAGCACTGCTGTAATGGAGAACATCAACAGCAGAGGCAAAGACAAGGTGCCATGAGGACAAGGCTAGAGAAAAGTCTTATTGGTTTGATTGCTGAGAACACAAGTCTCTAAAAGTAACTGAGGGAGGACTTACGAGGTAAACTGAGCCCAACATAAACAGGAAATAACTAAGGTTTGACATAATAGTATATTATTATACTATTATTAATGTGGCCTCAATAGCGCCCATAAACAAGTGGTTGATGGATTAGGTTTACATGGGATGGAAGAGGCAAATGGCAAGAGAAAGGACATGAAAGTGAAGAAACTCAATGATAAATATGATTACCACCCCGAAGAAAGGAAACCAGATAAATACAGACAGAATGAGTATTTTGGGAGACATTTAGTATCCCAATAGAATGGATATTTTGGGAGAGCTTCAATATCCTAGCATCTTTTAAATGCATATTGATGACTATGTGATAGAAATTTTATTGAGACTATTATCCATTCAGGTCCACAGGTCTGGAAGGCTTCCTTATTAATGTCTCCTCAGATTCTAGTCCATACCAGGTTGGTGACTTTGCCCACACGAAGGACTTCATACTTGGAAGAATCAGTCTCAGAACTACTTTCATCCTGAGTTAGTGTTTCGGCTTAAAAAACAAACAAACAAAAAACATTTTTATATGAATTCTTCTTAGAAAGGTAAATAGTCTATACTTTTTGTAAACCATATTCCATAAGATTTCTAATCACAAATTTTCGTTTCCAACAAAAAAGTAGATCCCAATAATCATTGCATTAGACCATTTAATTCCTTACATACACAATTTCGTTGACTGGTATTTAAGGGACCAATAGATAGTACCCAGCCAAATATTAGCCACTAGATTTCTTATCAAACTCACATTGTTGTTCATGTTTTCAATTACTCTTACTAACAGCAAGATCTGTGGTCAGTCAGTTTATAAACAACTGATCAGTATTTTGATTTATACACTAGCCAGACAATCAGAAATCTTTCTACAACCCATACTCATCTGTTTCAAAAATCAAAGGGCACTGGGCCAATTACTTTAGGCTTTCTGTTTTGCAATTTGAGGGCTGACCTGTGGGGCTAGGGACAAATCCCTCTATACTGTGGAAGACTTTCAGGTGGAGAGAATCTTTCTTTCTACATGTCTGCCTGAGTGAGTTGGGCTCCTTTCAGAGGAAGGATCTCTTGAAGAGTTAGCATCTCCATCACAGAGACTTCCCAGGTTATTTCTAGGAAGAGAATTGCCATTCTGGAAGAAAATGCTCTCAGTCTTTTATGTGTTTTACCTTTTATTTTCCTCTTCCACTACTTCTGTTTTACAAGAAATCCAAGAAGATAGGCCACTTCTGTTCCTCTGGATCTAAAAAGAGAAATGAGTCTTTAAAAGCCAAACACAGCATGATGTGCACACAATGCTGGGTGTATTTACATTAGCTTGGCCACTGCTAGGTATAGCCTGAGGGATGTAAAACTTAGTACAAATCACAGCAAAGACACCCTAAACATTCCTCTGCCCCACCACACCTAGAAGAATTTTTTTGTATAGGAATCAAAATCGTGTAAGAATTCTCCTCCACATGCCATTCCCCTTAAATAAGACAAAACATTTCTTCTCAGAATTGAGATGATTACTAACTACAATGCCTCAAAATTCCAGTATTTCTTAGAAGGAATTTCACACACAGCATCTTACTATAGGTAATTTATCTGAAAATTATAGCACAATCAACACATACAAATCTGAGAGACATGAACTTCACTGAGGGGGATTTTGAAAAAGTAGCTAGTTGGAGTGTCACCACAGCTAACAGTACAACCTCCATTTAAACATCCTCTGTGGGTGTTCAGTCTATGTCAGGCATTCCTCTATACTGTTCTAAATGGGTAATTTGTCTCTGAGTGTCACTTCCCAGCTTCTTTATATTTAAACTTCCTTTCCAGCTACAGTGTTTTCTCTTTCCTGTCTCTAAGAAAACCCACTTCAAAATATGACCAGTTATAAATCATTTAGCTTTTGATTTAGCCATCTATCAAATCATTTTCAGTAAGCCTGTCAATGGAGAATGACAAGCTATGAAGATATTTACAAGGATTCCAGTTGCATTTAAATAACAGAAGCACTAAAATGGTCCAAAGGCCTTCCCAGTGCTGACAAAATCCTGCTGCTGCTACCTGCAGCTAAGACCCTAATTAGGAATACCAAGAGGGCTTCTAAGCTTTGGGTTTCTTTTTAC